GAATTAAGGTTTCACAAATCTGAAACTGTGTTATAAAGAATGTTTAGCCTCTCTGGGATAATCCAGTCCAGATTTGATGAGTCTAGGTATAGTGGTTTTAGATCAGGACCTGGTCTAATGTGGTCTACATATAAAAAAAGCACTGAAATCTCCCTTTTTTGTATTTTCACAAAAAGAATTAAGGTTTCACAAATCTGAAACTGTGTTATAAAGAATGTTTAGCCTCTCTGGGATAATCCAGTCCAAATAAATCGGCTATGCAGCGATTTAAGAGGTTCAAACACGGAGGATTGTTCCTTTTTGAAGAGTGCTTCATGTATGCTTGAACTTTGTTTAATGTTGTTGAGGCAAGTTTTCTTACCGGAAGTCATGTGACCTCTAGCCCGGATGTTTACAATGTTTGTGAGAGAGTAAAAAGGCGCGAACATTTGTAAATGCCGGTCTAGGCGAATACGTTTTCACGCTGTTTCATAATTGTACCAAGAAGGAAATAAACATGATTGTGAACATCAGTTCGATGCGTAACGTTCTTTCAAGACAAAGTTACAGTGTGTGTACCTTTGCGTTTGGTTGCTGGTAAGGGGGACGACCAAGCGCTGTGATCTAGAATGCAAAGCTCGCTTGTTTCCAATCCCGAGAGTTGTCCATCCTCGCCTGAAACAGACGATTAGTGCCATGAGTTAGTGAAGCAAATTACAGAAACACTGCACAGTTATTCACAAGTCAAAACGTTTTCATAGCGGCCGAGAATATCTAGCTAGCTAGATGTAGCTAGCTAGGGGCCGGTGTTAGCCTATTCAGCCTAGCATGGCTAGCTTGATCTACTGAGCAAATAAAAGTACATATTAGACCATTATTGTGCAGATTAAAACCCCAGTGCATGTAGTTGATTTTACCTTCGTCGTGGTCGTCATCGTTGGCCACTGAATCCGCCGTTTGTAGTCCTGCCTGAGTTTCTTTATTTTTAGCCGGTGTGCCGTGGGGCTGTGATTCCCAGGTCGAGTGAAAGCTACTGAACTGGCTTCAGTAGCATTCCCTGGGTCGCGTCCTCGGCGTAGATCTCCAGAAGCGCCGACACCTCCTCATCATTTCTTGATGCTTGCCATAACTGCTTTCAAAAACAAACTACTCCGTCGGTGCGCTGGGTTTTTGTAGCGAGGAAAAACAATGGCGGCTCAACACAACATTTTCACAGTTGTACGGGGCGTGGTTTGCAATTCGCCCAGCCAATCAGCACTGGGGCACTTTTTACCCACAGGAAAGTACGATCTCTCAGCGGGCACTAAAAATGGGGGTAAAAATTCCCGAGATTAAGTAAGATTTTTGGTGTGAACGCGACATAAGGGGTACTAACGGAACTAAACGCGAAAAGTACGGTGAAAAGTACTCCGGTGTGAACGCGGCTATTGTTTCATTTTTCAGAAGGTTCGGTGTGCGTTCACACGGGCAAAACTCTAACGGACTATAAACTTTAAACAGAAGTCATGTGCACGGAAATGCTGTTAGATTAGATTACTTTATTGTCATTACATAATGCAAGCAGAGTGTAACAGGGTCTAACAAGAGTGCAAACAGTCAGTTATATACACATCTATCAGCAGTCTGTACAAAATAAATGCACTATACAAATATACAAGTAAAGGTATAAATGTAAAATGTATAAATACAAATAAATACACTGAGGCAGTATATATACACTATATAGCATCAGCAGGTTATTTTCATGCTGCTGTTAATCTGGACAGCATATAGACTCTAGCGGCCCGCACATATGAATATACAATCAGACGATGTGCGTTAAAAAATATTAAACAAATAAAATGAGTGACGTTCTGCAGTCAGGAGGAGGTTTCACCGACGACAGGTGGCTCTGACTTTTATGTAGTTGAGCATTTATACTTTACACGACACAGTTCAACACTTCATTCTGCTTCATTCTTTCGCTAAAGATTTTGAATACATCCGTACGGAGCCCCTAAAGGGACATGAAAAAAAAAAGTAATATCCTGTGTTTTGGTGCGGACTGCGTTCACACCAGAGATTAACCGCTCCAGAGTTCAATAGCAAGCGGTCCGAGAACACCTCTTTTAGGCGGACCAGAGTCAGGTTGTTTAGTTCACTTCAGAGGTCTCGGACTGTGTTCACATCAACCCAAACAAACCACACCAGGGTTCGATTCAAACGGATACAAGGCTGGTGTGAATGCGACCGGGTGACTTCAAGGTGTTTTAGTATTTCCTGCTACTTTATACTTTTGCTCTAAGATAAGATAAAATGTACTTTATTTATTTGGGAAAATGTGTTTTGTTGCAGCAGCATAAAACAAAACAAGACATTGCACATAATAACAAATTCAAAGAGTAGAAATAAAACAATTCTAAAATAGAAACATCTCAAAATAGAAATAGAAATAAACCAGCATTACAGAGTAAGAAAAACATACATATGACCGTGAAGATAAAAAATCAATAAACTGTCTGACAAATAAAATCACTACAATATAAGCAGGATATTATTTACATCAAGTGTGCATGGAATGGAATATTCAATTAAATATAAATATAAAATGTACAGTGGGAATGTAATAAGTCCAGTTAACCAAGGATAAGCTATGGAGCAGAGAGTTCTCTGCAGCCAGAGGTGATTTGTTATACAGAGGTATTGCAGTAGGCAGGAGTGTTTTCCTGTACCTGTCCTTATGACTCTACTTCACTTCAGAGGTAAATCTCCTCCTGTTCGGTGAAAACCATGAATCCTATCAGTATTGATAAATGGGAAAAGAAAAAGTAAAATATATCCTGAGAGGCTAGGGTCAGTACACTAGTATTAACGCTCAATAAATAAAATGCATTATTATTATTATAATTGTTATTTGCCTGTTACAAGAGGTGAGAGAAGTACTCAGATATTGTACTTGAGTAAAAGTAGAAGTACTCAGGTCTTGTACTTGAGTGAAAGTAGAAGTACTCAGATCTTGTACTTGAGTAAAAGTAGAAGTACTCAGATCTTGTACTTGAGTAAAAGTAGAAGTACCAGAGTGTAGGAATACTCTGTTACAGTAAAAGTCCTGCATTCAAAATGTTCCTCAAGTAAAAGTAGAAAAGTATTCTCATCAAAATATAGTGAAAGTAGCGACAGTAAAAGTAGTCATTGTGCAGATTGGTCCATTTCAGAATAATATATATGATATGTTTTATAATGATTGATCATTAAAGTGTTCTCAAAGCTGGTAAAGGTGCAGCTAGTTTGAATGACTTTGTATACTGCAGGGTAGCTTGTGAATTTACTCCAGGTGGAACTAAAGTCTAATTTATTGAATCGTTTATTTAGAAGGGACAATGCACAGTAATGAACACTTAAAACATCAAAATGTGTCAAGCGTAACAGTGCCAGATTTAGCTTTGAGCTCATTTCCATCCGCAGTCCCTCACATAAAACATTTAAGAAAATTACATTTTACAAACATGGCAAAAACAAATATATGCATACCTGCCAACCCTACCGATTTGGGCGGTAGTCTACCGCTTTTGACATGTTTCTACCGTCTACCGATTTAGCTGGCTTTCCCTACCGAATTTCAATTTTCCCAAATTATAAAAAAAAATAATGCCCCTTTGACACGAAGGGCTCACAGGAACTCAGATGCACGATTCAGTTGACTTCAAAATATCTTTTATTTATAAAATACTTTTAAAGCTACAAACAAAAAATTACTAGGTTCTACTAGGATTCCCGAACCCAATAAAATACCCAATATTAACGGTGTGTGTGTCTGCCCAAGGACAATTTAAGGTAAAACCTAATAGAGGTGTCATACATAATAACCTAATAAAAGTAAATGTAACAACTACTACAGTGCAACAAAACAGGAAGATTAAATGTGGTCTCTTAAACATAAAATCTCTAGCATCTAAAGCAATATTGGTAAATGATTTAATATCAGATTATAATATTGATATATGCTGTCTCACAGAAACTTGGTTGGGACATGAAGAATATGTCAGCATAAATGAGGCCACTCCACCCAGCCATATCAATACTCATATTGCTCGAGGCACAGGCTGAGGAGGTGGAGTTGCAGCCATCTTTGACTCAAGTTTACTTATCAATACTAAACCAAAATTAAATTATACCAAAAGCCGCATTTCTCTAACAGCTGGAATAGAGGGCTATGAGGGATTTCTAAAATGCATGATCTGTTTGTATTTTGAGAAAAACACATCATAGACATGTTTTTATATATTTTTATATATCTGAGACCCATAATATATGCCTAAAAATAGCATGATAGTGTATTTATTTATATAAGACACACTTTTAAAATATGTTAACCTGTTAAGCCCCAAAGACCCCGCCAGCGGAGCTTTTTTTTTTTTTTCACTTGCAGTTAAAAAGAGATAGGTCAAATCCACCCAAATGACCCCAGAAGTGGGTTTATTTTGCTAAATCTCTCTAAAAAGGTCAAATTTCACTTGTTTTGCATCAATCTTGATACAGGGTACTTATTATATGTTATAGTTTGAATTCCTAAAGCTTTTATTCTACTAACCCATCATCCAAGGGTAGTTTTCACTATAAGTAAAAAATAATTTTTGGACGGACACTATAATTTACAGTTTTTTACTATGTAAAATCTGAATTTACTTTAAAAGAAAAACATCTATATTGATTCTGACTCTTCTACATCCAACTCACAGGTTTATCATTGCTTTGAGAAAAAAGATTATTAATGTACCCCTTTTAGAAGGGAAGATATGGTCATTTGTTCTGGGAATGTCATTTTCGAGCCTGAGACCTGAAAAACAGGCTCAGGGCTTAACAGGTTAATAAGATCCTGTTCACAATAAATGAAACTTAAGGAAGGTTTATTTTGGGCCAAACCATTCTTCACTGGAGGGGAGGACTGACTGGATGTCATGAGGGATTAACAATTAAAGTTTGGATAATATAACCACCCCACCCCTCTCCTTTATATATTTGTACTATTCCAAATCAACAGCAAATCAAGATTTCAGTTGGTACGATCCAAACAGGTTCAGACTTCCCTCTCCTCTGACTCGCTCTTTATAAATCTGATACAAAAATATACCGTGTGTGAAAACCCGGGCTGCGGTTGAAGGAAGAGACGCAGTAAGTTCACACTCAGTTTGTTCAAAAAATCTATCTGTGAGTAACGTGTAACTATACATGTACTTAAGGGTTACTTTAAGGGTTACTTTAAGGTGTTTTAGTATTCCCTGCTACTTTAAACTGTTACTGTACTTCACTTCAGAGGTAAATCTCCTCCTGTTCGGTGAAAACCATGAATCCTATCAGTATTGAAAAATGGGAAAAGAAAAAGTAAAATATATCCTGAGAGGTTAGGGTTAGTACACTACTACTAACGCTCTATAAATAAAATGCAGATCGTATGCTTGAGTTAAAGTAGAAGTACCCGGATCTTGTACTTGAGTAAAAGTAGAAGTACCCGGATCTTGTACTTGAGTAAAAGTAGAAGTACCCGGATCTTGTACTTGAGTAAAAGTAGAAGTACCCGGATATTGTACTTGAGTAAAAGTAGAAGTACTCAGATCTTGTACTTGAGTAAAAGTAGAAGTACTCAGATCTTGTACTTGAGTAAAAGTAGAAGTACTCAGATCTTGTACTTGAGTAAAAGTAGAAGTACTCAGATCTTGTGCTTGAGTAAAAGTAGAAGTACTCAGATCTTGTACTTGAGTAAAAGTAGAAGTACCAGAGTGTAGGAATACTCTGTTACAGTAAAAGTCCTGCATTCAAAATGTTCCTCAAGTGAAGGTATAAAAGTATTATCATCAAAATATAGTTAAAGTAGCAACAGTAAAAGTAGTCATTGTGCAGATTGGTCCATTTCAGAATAATATATATGATATGTTTTATAATGATTGATCATTAAAGTGTTCTCAAAGCTGGTAAAGGTGCAGCTAGTTTGAATGACTTTGTATACTGCAGGGTAGCTTGTGAATTTACTCCAGGTGGAACTAAAGTCTGATTTAACACTTGATTATATTTCACATCATTCATCCACATCTGTGAAGTAACTAAAGGTATTAAATACATGTAGTGGAGTACAAGTACACCATGTACCTGTAGTGGGGTAGAAGTACACAGTAGCATAACATGGAAATACTCATGTAAAGTACAAGTACCTCAAAGTTGTTCTTGTGTAAAGTACTTGAGTCCCACCTCCTCCTGTTTGTGCTCAGATGGACCTGATGGCGTTGGAGACGAAGTGGAGGACGGCGCTGAGCTCCATCCTGCACATGTTGATGGACGACGAGTTCCAGAAACTTCTGTTTAACCTGCAGAAGATCCCTCAGGGGGTGAAGGGGGGGCGGCCGCGGGGCGACATGCCCAGCGTCATCATCCAGCACTATGGCACCGAGGGATCCATCACACTCATCGACCGCCTGATGAAGATCCTGCCCAGGCTGGACGCCGCCGTGCAGCAGCCTCTCAGAGGCATGAAGGACGAGCTGAAGAAACTCCGGGAGAAAAGCAAAGGTCAGAAATAACAAGAAAAATAAATACATGTAGAAATAAATCCTGCAAGCATCTAATAAACGTGCAGGTTAGTTTAAAAATAAATAGTGTTCAGTGACACTAATACCCGCTCTGGTACGTGCACATTTAAAGGAATATATATTTAACCTTACATAGTATCTGTATACACATTCACTGGCCACTTAACGCAGATATCTAATCAGCCAATCACATGGCAGCAACTCAATGCATTTAGGCATGTAGAAATGGTGAAGAGGACCTGGTGAGGTTCAGACATCAGAACGGGGGAGAAATGGGATCTAAGAAGCTTTGAACGTGGCATGGTTGTTGATCTGAGGTTTTCTGAAAGGGGTTCCAACCCGGTACTACAAGGTGTCCCTAATAAAGTGGCCGGTGAGTGTAAGTACATTCACTGAATCACAGGTTAACTAAGATTACTTTTGTTTTTTTAATTCACAATGTAAATACAAGTGTATTCTCATATGAACTACCTGCGTTCCTGTTGCTGCCATGACACGTGAATTTCCTTGGATAGATAAAGGTCCATCCTATGTTTAACAAATGGTAGAAAATGCAAATTTGTTCTAAAAAAAACATCAGGAGAAACACACTGCAGCTATGCCAATATTAAAACTGTACTTGGGCACATTTGTGTTTTTATATTTGCATATGCAGATGAAGAACCATCATGCGCCTCTTCACACTTTAACTTTCATTTTATTTTTTAGGGACCACATCTGCAGCCAAGAAGAGGAAAGCTGCAGCTGGTACAAACAAGCAAACAAACACACACACACACACACACACACACACACACACACACACACACACACACACACACACACACACACACACACACACACACACACACACACACACACACACACACACACACACACACACACACACACACTTTTGTCCAAATTAGATAATATTTACGCACAATTGTTCTGCTATGTGGATTATTATTTATTTAAGGAAAGTCAGATGTTACCAATACATGTCTAATAGGTTTTTGGATAGATTTAAGTATTTTAACCGTAATTAAGGCCTTATTTTAGACCAATCGGATCAATGCGTTTGAACAACTCTAAGGATCTCCTAAAGAGGGATCATGTGCAGGTGATATGATTATTTAGAGCCTCTACTTTCACAGGGACCAAACCTGCAGCTGACTCAGGAGCAGCGACTAAGAAGAAGAAACCTGCAGCTGGTAAACACACACACACACACACACACACACACACACACACACACACACACACACACACACACACAGGGCCAGCCCTAGACTTTTGGGGGCCCCCTCACTCTAGCGCGCTCTCACTACATACAACACGGAACCAACTTTTGTCTTATGATGTTAGCATAAGCACACATATTGTATAAATAAGCATGTAAACACCGTGGACCTAACATCCTCTAGGGGGGTCCTCACCTCCTCTAGGGGGGTCCGGGGGCATGCTCCCCCGGGAAGATTTGTTTTTTAAATATTGAAGTTAAAAGCATCAATCTGGTTCACTTTGAGAGCAAAATTAAGAGATCTATGGATACATATCTCAACACCCATATGAAACAGAACTGTAAACAGATTTTTATTTATGGATATTTTACAAATCACTCCCCTTTTAAACTGTTTTGTCATATAGTATTTCATAACTGTTTTTCATTTATTCTCTCTGGCTGTCCATCTCATAATGTCCACATAAAAACTAGCTGTCAATAGGAATATCATTCAGAAGAATTATAATTTCATGCAAAAATCTGTCACAAAAAGAGGTTGTACATTTAAATTCAGGTGTTGTTATGGCAACGTCAGTGGCCAAACAGCCACATTTACGGCTGCAAATACATTCAAACATGCTGTCGACACGTAAAGCAGTGGCAACTATGCCACCATTTCAGCTGACTTTTTCTCAGAAATACTGTCACATAACATCCATATATTTCAGTGCTAGGTTGATGCTTAGCTAAGCTAACTATGAAACCCTTTAACTGACAGGACTCAGGATCAACTGTGTACTGTAAGCAGAGTTGGGTGTAACGCGTTACAAAGTCACACTGACAGACAAGAGGGGTTTCCGCCGCAGGTTTATATGTACGTAATCTGCGCGACTTGCGCATCCACATCTCCACGTGCACTGCTGCATAAACATGGCAGAGTCAGCGATAACTTTCGAGGGGTGGAGGTATGGCCATTATTTTGAGTTCGTCCGAAGAATAGACAGGAATGTGACGGTGAGGTGCAAACTGTGTCCAGGCCAGAAGCTGTTATCCACTGCTGCAAACACCACGTCAAACCTCAACAAACACCTGCAAAGAACACATGCTAAGGTGAAGCTAATAGCTAAGGACCCCCGAACCCAGAGTGAGGATGTTGTGAGTGCGCCACCGCCGACTCCGAAGCAGCACAAATTAGAATTTGGAGGACCGGTAACCAAAGCAGAGATGGACAGGCTTGTAGCATCCTTCATAGTAGAGGTAATGTTGCCCATTTGCACAGTGGAATCACCATCGCATCGTTCAGAGATATACTGCGCAAAATACAGATAGCAGGAGACAGAGGACAGCCATAGTCAGAGCTATCTGGATCAGTCTTATGCGACAATGGAAACTGAACTAAAGAGAACATTTGAAACTTTAGCAGTCTGCGTGATCTGCCTGTAGGGAGGGGGAAAACCCCCCGCAGGACTTGATACGCCCCCTTGATAAATACATTTAATTATAATGAAACCAGCTGCAATGGATCATGGATCCACCAGGGGGTGCAGTGATTAAAAAGCTGCCACACTGGAACTCATGTGAAATAAAAAATAAACAGCTGATAGATCTACAGGTATCTGATATAGCGAATATTTGTTAAGATCCATATGTAACGGATAGGATCATATTCTGTGCTAAATAAGAGACATGTAATCATTTACAAAACATCACCATGTTTTTATTTAACAAAATAATGTTGTTTAATCCACGTTGGCGTACTACAACTATACAAAAACCATCGGTTTGTTTTTTCATCAGGAAATGCAGACCGGCTCAAACAAACGATTTGTAATCATCATCCTCACGATCATTTAATGTATCATATGTTCGCCGAATTGACATGAAAGCACTAATAAATGTAGTTTAATCCACGTGAGTTTACAACTACAAACATAATCAGTTTGTTTTTATATCACATCCGACGGGAGGAAATGCAGCAGCTCTCACTACCGATTTTTAATCCTAATGTAATCATCATCTTCACCACGATCATTTATGTTTATGTTCGCCGAATTGAAAGCACTGACAAATATGAATATACTGTAGTCAACTTCATTAAAACTTTATTCACTTGCCCAAACTCAGTAATTCACTAAAAATAGGTTTATTTTTAATGAAGCCTCGTCATCTCACCACGGGCAAACGGGCTATAATATTATACTATTGTTAATAGTTTACTGTATTATTAGTGTTTAATATTACTGCTATAACAATCACACATTGAGTTCATTGTTGTGCAATGTTAAAATCAGACCGGTTTTTATTTTTAAATAGTCAGAATGAAACGGCAGCTCTCAGGTGATCAGCTGTGTGTTTACACACCTAATGGCCCATCAGCCATGGCCCCCACCCCCCTCTGAGTGACAAGCTTAAGGCCCGGACACACCAGCCTGATTTTGGGAGTCAGAGGCCGTCAGAGGCCGTCAGAGGCAGTCGGGCATTCGTGGCGCCCTACTCAGGTTTGTGTGTCCCACACCGTCGTCTCTTTACGGCACCTTTTCATACCTCCCGACGCCGATTCAACATGTTGAATCGGCCGTGTTGAATTCTTTGGTCTCAGGTGGGTGTGTAGCGGCCTTTACAGTTAGCTGTCTTTTGGCACGTTTCCACTGCATCGCGGAGCCCCGTTTAAGAGAGCTGTGACGTCAGCGGCCCGTCTTTGGTTGCGTTTCCACTTGGCCTAGTACCGGCTAGCGGGTCCTAATTCACAGTTTTTCTGGCCCCATAAAATCGTTGTTCTAGGGCCAGGAACAACGAGGCTGAGTCGGGCTGAGTATGCTAAACTAGAGAGAAAATCGCTGGCAAGGGGGCTACAACTACAACAAGATGAACATATTTGACCGTGATTTAATTGTAATACACGTTTCAAAATGATGCCGAAGTAACAACATACTGATACCGGTTAGTAAAAACCATGAATGAATGCTTTGACAAGTCTGCAGACAGACGGCAGGCGAAAAACCTTTTAAAATGCGTGTTTTCTAAATGGAGATTGGCTAAGCTAACGCAGTATATGCTCCGACCGTCCACACTCACAACAACGGCCTACAGACATAAATAAACCAGCGACTGTATTCGCCATGACACAGACAGTCTGTGGTTTGTACTTGTTTAACTTTTGTCTAGTTTCTGAACAGATATGAGGAGCTGTGAGCTTGAGTGCTAACAGCTAACGGCTGTGTTGTTTTTCTGGGGTTCTCATTGAAGATGACGTCACGGCTCCGCCTACACTGCGTTACTATAGATACTACCCTAGTTCCTAAACTGTAATGGAAATGCGCCATAAAGTGAGCCAGTCCTAACGAGGCCTAGCCATACCGAGCGAGGCCGAGCGAGGCCGTGTAGTGGAAATGCGCCATTTGTGTATTGCAACCAGGGAGAGCAGTGATGGACGCTGCCACAATGAAACTCATATGAAATAAACAGCTGATTCCTCACACACACAGTAGCCTGTTGTTTCTATGCATAAAATAGTGAGAAACATGCCTCTGGTTAATTATTATATAACTTATTTTCTCCATAAAAGCTGGTTGGTTGAAAGCAATAGAGAGGCGAAGTCCCTCCCCTTCCGGTGGACCTTCATGGGACCTTATTTCGGAAAAAGTATGTATTGAAGTTAATGGGGAGAGAAACATTATCCTTCGATCCCGTTTGAATTGAGCCACAAATTACACATATGATGTTTGTCAATTTAAAAGATAATTTTACAAGTAAAAAAAAAAAAAATGTGTCGTAAAACTGTGAAGTAACACTTTTTTTGGTGTGAAACCGCTCAATGAACTACATCTCCCGTCTCGCACCACACACCAAGACGGCCGTCACGTTGGCACATTTCACTTCTTTCTTTCAGAATGAGGCGGAAAGTATTAAAAGAGGTGAAAATCACTCCAAGTCTGGGCATGTTGAGAGCTGTGCATACACACAAGGGGAGTTAGTCGGTTCCGTAAGAGCCAGCATGCGGGACCGGGATTCTGGGATTTGTAGTCTTTCTAGTTGCATATTTTCCACTATTCATTAACCCTGAAACCCCCCTCTGTTAACAAGAGATACTGTTGCAGTCTATGGCTGCTTTTACACGGGAACGTTTGCGTTTATGCACAGTATGCGTTTTCAAAAAAGTCTTCCGTTCACATGCATTTGTTTCATTTAACGTGTCTGTTCAAACGAGACCGCTGGAAACGCTGTAGTACATATGCCGGGACTGTAAGTGGCGCTGTACTTCCACACGAGACCGCTCGAAAGCGCTGGACACGCTGTAGTACATATGCCGGGACTGTAAGTGGCGCTGTAACTTCCGCCACAAAATACACCAAAAGCAGTGAAGAAGACCCCGGAGCAGCCCCGCAGCAATGTTGCCATGGCTACCCTTCTGTTTATGCCCCGCGGTGGATTTAGCAACATGTAGTAGTTCATGTAATTCTCCATGTCCACTTGTTGCTGATGGTTGTGGTAGAGGAGCTGTAGATTTTCCACTAACATCTGTAGCATGGTCGAGCTGTAGATGTTGCACTAACATCTGTAGCATGGTCAGTAGCAGTAGCACTAGCAGTAGCTACTGACAGTAGCTACTGGCCATGCTACAGCAGTGAGCAGCAGAGGCGGGGAGAGGCGGGGCTATCGTTATTTTTTCAGGAAATATTCGTATAGAGGCGATTACACGGACTCGTTTGACCCCCCAGAGCGTTTCGTTTGCAAATCTATCCACCTTGGGACCCGTTATCGTTTGTGGGGTCCGTTTGTTACGGCCTCGTGTAAATAATAGGGCTATACGCAAGAGAAACTATGCAGATACAAGCCGTTTCGTTCTCGTGTAAATGTGGCCTAAATTGCGGACTCTTTGTTTAAAACTAATTGCCCATCGGAATGTGTGGAGAAAGTCTCCCAAGGGGGATGGGAAACTTCTGACTATTGTCACATTCTGATCGGAATTACATGCAGGGCAGCATTGCCGGTCTGACAGGGTCTCTGGAAATATCAAACATTTAATTAAAGTTTTAAAAACAGTGACAGGTTAAAATCAGAGGTGGAAGAAGTATTCCGATTATTTACCTAGGTAAAAAGATGTGTTAGAAGCAAATGTCCTGCATTCAAAATTGTCAATAGCCCAAGTGAAAAGTATTATCATCTGAAAGTAAAATGAATCATTATGTTATTAGTATTAAATACATATAATTTGTACAACTTATATTTAGAAATACTCCGTTGTAATTATTGATGCATAAATGTGTTCATCCATTCAATGTGGCATCTGCTATAATGGGGTTAATGTTAAAGGTAGGGTAGGTAAGTTTGAGAAACCGGCTCGAGATACACTTTTTGTTATATTCCATGGAATGCTCTTAACATCCTGATAGCAATGAATATCTTAAGTGCTTTGACAAAAAATCCATAAAAAAATGTCATCTGTGGAAGCCGTAATACTGTAAAAAGCACGACCAATCATCTGAGCCGGCCCGGCTAAAATAACTGGATGGCCTACCCAGTGGCGACTGGTCATTAGGGGCAGGTGTGGCACAGCCCCACCTAGTGTCAGCAGAAAGTATTACACATAATGATTACAAAAAATGCAAAGAGATGCAAAAAAAGAAATAAAAAAATATATAAAATATATTTTAAGGTCATGTTTAATCATCTGATTCGTCTGTACATTGCTGTTTTAGTCTGTGTTCTTCTAATTAGTGTCTACAGTGCCGTTTTGAGCCATGTGGGACAAAACCTGATCATGCCCCACCCTCTCACTGTCAAAGCGAACGGTGACTGTAAAAACTACACTGCGCATGCTCAGAGTATTTTTCAATGTAATGTGTGTGGCAAAAAAAAAAAGACCATAGGGGCACAGAGCTGCCATCCCCACCATACGTCATCTCACATCATTCAGAGCTGATTGGCTGTAAGTACGTGTGCCGCGAAAAGTGTGGTGTGTGAAGAGGAGACGAGAGAGCTGCAGTGACGCGTCCTAAAACCAGGAAGTAAGCTGCAAAAAAGCAATGAGGTTTCTCCATAGGATTTTAGAAAATAACTCGAAATAAGATCTGTGGGAAATGTACCTGTTAGATAATTGCACGTTTTGTTCAGCCGGATAACATCCACATGTCTACCCTACTTTTATAATTTATCATAAATCTATCGATTAGATTTATGATAGACTTTTGAAACTACAAGAAGATAAGGAGGACTTTTACAAAAAAGTAATAGAAATGTTTGTCCAGAAGGATAGGCAAATAGACTTCATCTTCAAGTCAAGGTAAGACCGCAATTTTTTGAAAATGGGATCTTACTAAGAGAGAACAATTCAATATTTAAATGATAAAATGACATTTTTTGGGTATCCTTTTGTTGAACTGTCTGTTTAAAATTAATCGAAGCATCAGACAAAAAAAGCTTTTGAAAATAATATTATATTTTGGTTTAGGTCAAAATATAATATTTGTAAACCTGAAGAGTCAGTGCCAGTGCCTCACCAGCCATGAACCTCACTGCACGTCACTGCAGAAGCTTATATATAGACATCTAAGTTTTTTGTGCCCCACCACTTTTGTACATATAAAAACGCCACTGGGCCTACCTGCCTGTCAGCCTTCCATCTGTGCACAAACTTATCTCGTGCCCTCATTGGTCATGTGCGCGTTCGTGTGTGTTGGAGGAGGGGCTCTGTAAGGAAGTGGCAGATTTTCTCCAGTTGTGTATTTTCAAATTCTAGCGATCTCGAGCCGGTTTCTCAAACTTACCTACCTTTAATGTGCTATAATGATATTACTTAATAATACCACATTACTGTATAATACGTGATAATGTATGAGTTGATTTACTTCAATCTACTGTACTGTGTACACCACAACAATATTACAAAAAATATACTGCACATTAAAGCAAACTATTGTAAAGGTAAAAGTATGAGCATAACAAATAAAGAAGTGTAAACATTATTATTATGATTATTTAATATATAAAGACTATATATTATTGAATTACAATTAAGATAATAAGATTAGATGTACTTTATTTGATCTAAAATATATATATTTTTTTGTTATAGCAGCCTGTGAAAACCATAACAAATAAGTGATTAAATGCTCTTCAGCAAACACAACTGCAGAGCTGCAAACATTGCAAACAAACTGAAGACCTAAGTTCACCCAGTTGTCTTTGTGTAGTTGTGAATGAAGCGCCATCTTATGGTTAAATCCTGTAATTGAACAAATGGGGAAATTTGGCAACGCCCTCTAGCAATTTGGCAACGCCCCCAGCCACTGGGATCCGCTGGGTTTTTGTTTGGAATCCGCTGGGTGGAGTCCTATCTGGAGTGCTACATCTGTAGCTTACCCCCGCGATTCAAAGTAACGTCAACGTAGCTGTAATTTATGCTTTGCTTACATGTTCGCATAATTGGAAGTTTACTGACATTTACATACCTTGTTTACCTGGCTCAAGTGGTGGCTCTGGGGTTGTTGTGTGAGCCACCACTTGAGAATTGTCGTCTTTTTTAAGAAATTCTTATGTCCATCTTCAAAAACTCTGAGTCCGACTGACAGTTTATTTTAAACATTGTCACAGCTCACAGGATAGGTACCTGTCAGCCAATAAGACAGTTGTTTATTTCCATTCAACTCTCTGGTTGGTCTGGTGTCTTGCCTCTGTTGCATTCACTGAACACGGGAAATTACAATCCTGCCGTCCTCTCTAGTGTCATGATGAGGTTCAGGTAAAGCACGGTTAATGTATCATATGATTGACTCAATAATATAATACATGACTTTGAGAGTAGACAATCTAGGCATATTAACTAAATTAATTAAACATACTTATCACGGCGACGGAGTACTGAGATTATTATTTTTTTTTTTGTTGCTAGGGGGCCCTTAGTGGCTGCGCGGCCCTAAGCGGCCGCTTATGTTGCTTAATGGGTCGGGGCCGACACACACACACACACACACACACACACACACACACACACACACACACACACACACACACACACAGTATAAATATTATTTATCATATATTATTATATTTATCATTTTCAGTGCGTTAAACTTTTTAAAATGTATTTGTTTAGCGGCCACGAGCAATGCAACTGACTCAGGAGCAGCAACCAATAAGAGAAAACCTGCAGCTGGTAAAAAACACACACACACACACATCCTGGTAACCGGTTCTACTACCTCTGCCCTTTATCTACAAAGCAATAATCAAGCAGTTCTTCTCTCTCCAAAGATATTTATACTTTTATTATAATGTAGTCTAGCTCCAGCCAGCCGTCAGCATTCACCCCCATGTTGTGGTTCTTCTCTGAGGACTTTATTACATGTGACACGTTTAAACACACGATTCCGCAAGTGTTTCCGCACACGTTTCCGCAAGTGTTTCCGCAAGTGTTGCCGCACGTGTTTCCGCACGCGTTTCCGCACACGTTTCCGTACACGTTTCCATACATGTTTTCTAGACACGTTTCCGCACACGTTTCCGTACACATTTCCATACATGTTTTCCAGACACGTTTCCATAAACGTTGGACGAGAGCTTGGCCTGGGCCAGTTAACCACGTTCCCGTACACGTTTCCATAAATGTTTCCGCACACATTTTCCGCACACGTTACCGCACAGCAGCAGCTCCAAAGGGGCGTGGCCAGCAGCAGCTCGGTTACATTTAAAAGGCCAGAATCAGCACTTTAGTAACAGGGCTGAAATAGAGGGGGATGAGGCTACAATGATCTGTTTGGTATTTTGAGCAAAACACTTCAGAGACATGTTTTGTATAGATATGGCCCTATAATATATTGTTCAAATATAGCATAATAGGTGAGCTTTAACTCTTCTAACCCTAATTAAGGCCTTATTTTAGACCAATCGGATCAATGCTGTTGAACATCTCTAAGGATCTCCTAAAGAGGGATCATGTTCAGGTGATATGAATATTTAGAGCCTCTACTTTCACAGGGACCAAACCTGCAGCTGACTCAGGAGCAGCGACTAAGAAGAAGAAACCTGCAGCTAGCTCACACACACACACACACACACACACACACACACACACACACACACACACACACACACACACACACACACACACACACACACACACACACACACACACACACACACACACACACACACACACACACACACACACACACACACACACACACACACACACACACACACACACACACACACACACACACGGATGAGTAAGTTAACATACACCAGATGGTTTTGGTATGTAATTATAATAGGGTTTTAATAAAATAACACAAAGGCATACAACAAAAAGGGAGCAAAGGTAACCTAAGCTAAACAAAGAAGCCAAAAGGGCGCAAGTCTACTGCTAATAACAGAGAAAGGCCTCTAAAACATGAGCCTAGTTATCACACCTGAGATCACTTCCAATCAGCACTAATGGAAGGAGCTGCAGGAAAACACAGCTAACAAAAGAAACTAAACCCACCACTTTAAACACATATATCAACACTCAACACACGACACTAAGCACATATATCACACCAAACACAGTCTGTAGTGTCCACGACACAAGAGCAAAAGGTGTCTGATTGCAGCAGAGCCTCCCGAGTGATAATTGTCCCCAGGCTTTGTAGTCATCTCCGGAAGGTGTGCTCTGGGATTGCACGGGGATTGGAGAGCGTTGGGCCCGGCGTGCTCCAATCAGCGTCTTCGGAGGAGGACCAGGAGAAGACAGCCAACGACATTGGGGCAACCACACAGCTCATTTACATATTACACACAGCTGCAAACAATCTCAGACAGGTTAACGAGCAGACAGAAACAGCAGCTGTAACACACACACACACACACACACACACACACACACACACACACACACATAGTATACATATTATTTATCATATATAATTATATTTATCATTTTCAGTGCGTTAAACCTTTTTAAATGTATTTGTTTGAAGGATCCATCACACTCACCGAGGGATCCATCACACCCATCGACCGCCTGATGAAGATCCGGCTCAGAGGCATGAAGGACGAGCTGAAGAAACTCCGGGAGAAAAGCAAAGGTCAGAAATAACAAGAAAAATAAATACATGTAGAAATAAATCCTGCAAGCATCTAATAAACGTGCAGGTTAGTTTGAAAATAAATAGTGTTCAGTGACACTAATACCCGCTCTGGTATTTAACATTTAAAGGAATATATATTAACCTTACATAGCATCTGTATACACATTCACTGGCCACTTTATTAGGTACACCTGTTCACCTGCTCGTTAACGCAGATATCTAATCAGCCAATCACATGGCAGCAACTCAAGTATTTCAGAAAGGGGTTCCAACCCGGTACTACAAGGTGTCCCTAATAAAGTGGCCGGTGAGTGTAAGTACATTCACTGAATCACAGGTTAACTAAGATTACTTTTGTTTTTTTAATTCACACTGTAAATACAAGTGTATTCTCATATTAACTACCTGTGTTCCTGTTGCTGCCATGACACGTGAATTTCCTTGGATAGATAAAGGTCCATCCTATATTTAACACATTTTTGGCATGGCCGGATGCAATCGGTCGCTTCGGTGTCGGGAAAATCAACGAAAACGGAAACTGTACAAATGCCGCAGTTTTTGCGTGGCTGTGTCTTGAAAGCCCCCCCCCCGTTGATGATTCACGATCGTCGGCACGCTGATAAAATACTTTTTTTTTAATGGCACTTCATATCAAAAAGGTTGCCGACCTCTGGCCTAGTAAGATGCTCCAGAACTTACCCCACTGCGGATGGTGATACTGACTACTCGCTTGTTCTAACCCAGATGAACATGCCTAAACGAAAACCTACCCCAAGACAAAAAGAGAAGCCGCGCCTAAACACCGCAAGAATTAAGTGCGCAGAAAATGTCATAGCATTCCGGAAGTCGTTTGCAAAAAAGATGGCTGCAAGCAGTACCGACACAGGACCAGAAGAGAACTGGCAGAGCCTGCGAGCTGCTATGCATGACGCGGCTACCGAATCTTTTGGCACGAATAGGCCGCCGCAAGAAGACTGGATGGCCAAAAATGCTGTAGTCCTGGAACCGCTGTTCGCTGCCAAGAGCGAGTCGCACAAAGTGTACAAGCAACGGGCAACACGGAGTTCTCTCACTGCACTCAAGGATGCGCAGCGTGAACTTCAGAGGACAGCTCGATTCTGTGCTAACCAGTACTGGAACAAGCTCTGCAATGACATCCAACAGGCTTCAGACACTGGTAACCTGCGGGAACTGTACAGGGGCCTGAACAAGGCTATTGGGCCGAGAGCAAAAAAGGTGTGTCCGCTGAAGTCTGCAGAAGGAGCACTGATCACTGACACAGGGCAGCAGATGTTACGATGGGTTGAGCACTACTCAGAGCTCTATGGCAAACCAAGGAGCATCAGCGACGTGGCTTTGGCCTCAACACCCAGCTTTGACATCAATGCTGAGCTGGACAACTTGCCAACCATGGTAGAGCTAGTGAACGCGCTGAAGCACACTGCAAAGGGCAAAGCTGCGGGCACGGACGGCATCCCGGCTGATCTCCTCAAATGTGACAGCTGATTACTGCCGCACATGCACAAGCTGCTCTGTCAATGCTGGCAAGCTGGCGCTTTCCCATCGGACATGAAGGACACCAAGATAATCACGCTTTACAAGAACAAAGGCGATAAAGGCGACTGTAACAACTACTGTGGCATTTCGCTGCTGAGCGTGCTTGGCAAGGTCTTCTCCAGAATTCTGTTGGTGCGGCTCCAGAAATTGGCCGCTCGCGTGTACCCAGAGTCACAGTGCGGGTTTCGAAGTGGCCGCTCAACAACAGACATGATCTTCACGGTGCGCCAGGTGCAAGAAAAGTGCAGAGAGCAAAACAAACCACTGCACATGGCGTTTGTCGACTTGGCGAAGGCGTTCAACATGGTGAGTCGGGAAGGACTGTTCGCCACCTTGCAGAAACTGGGCTGTCCACCGACACTGCTCGGGCTGGTCCAATCGCTTCACGAGGACATGTCAGCAACGGTTTTCTTTGAAGGATCTTCTTCAGACAGCTTCGCCGTTCCCAGTGGAGTCAAGCAAGGCTGCGTGTTAGCCAGGGTAGGAATTTCACGGCGGCCATGACGGCCATGGCCGTCGTTGCCCCTCGGTCTGGCCGTTATGTCCCACTAATAATTGTACGTCCTACGGCCACCGTGGCCTTTGTGCCCCTCACACTGTTAAAATCTCGAAGTTGCTTTAAAAACGTCAGAACAGTGGTTTCTGAACTGCATTATGCTGCGTTCACAACGGACGCGATATGAATATTCGCATTGCTCTAATCGCTGGAGTTTCACTGCGGCTGTCAGCTGTGTTTACTCCTGTCATTCAAACAGGACGCGCTGGAGAGGGGGCGGGGCTTATATCCATATAAATACTGTGGTAGACTCAACTACAACAACATTTACATATTTTACCGTGATTTAATTGTAATAAACGTTTCAAAATGATGCCGAATTAACAAAATACTGATAATGGTTAGTAAAAACCATGAATTAATGCTTTGACAAGTGTGCAGACAAGACGGCAGGCAAACAAACTTTTAAAATGCGTGTTTTCTGAATGGGGATCGGATCGATCAGGCTAAACTAACCTGTAGCTGCTCCGTCCAAACTCACAACAACGTCCTAAGGACAGAAATACAGCAGCGACTGTATTCACCATGACACAGACAGTCTGTGTTTTGTTCATGTTTAACTTTTGTCCAGTTTCTGAACAGATATGATGAGATGTGAGCTCTGTGTGCTAACAGCTGCTGTTTTGGTTTTCTGATTCAACGTCAGTGGCTGAGATCCTCACTGCTGTTTGGCTACCGCGAATTTGAGGCTCGAGTTGAAAATTGTTATTAAAGAGACTCTCTCACACACACACACACACACACACACACACACACACACACACACACACACACACACACACACACACTTTTGTCCAAATTAGATAATATTTACGCACAATTGTTCTGCTATGTGGATTATTATTTATTTAAGGAAAGTCAGATGTTACCAATACATTTGCAACTCAGAGATAAACATAAATCCCCCTTAAAATGTCTAATACGTTTTTGGATAGATTTAACTATTTTAACCGTAATTAAGGCCTTATTTTAGACCAATCGGATCAATGCGTTTGAACATCTCTTGCCCCTTTCACACCAACACGTTTTCAGCTCCGGCTCGGAGCTGGAGCTGAAAAGTACCGTTTTTTCCTGTTCACACCGCAGCGGCGCCGCCTCTTAGCTCCGGAATGCGGTTCACTTCCAGCTCCAAAAAATTGTCGGTCTAGAGGCAAGAGCTTCGGAGCTAAGAGGCGGCGTCACTTACGTCTCTCTTACGTCGAGGCGTGCAGGAAACTAAACCCACCTCTCCTGAACATGGGTCGACTGAAGAGTCTCGTCATGCCTGCCTACAAGCAGTAGCGCTGAGCAAATTGACTAGAAGGCAACCACACACTTTATAAAGTCAGGCAACACTAACCAGGCTTCGTGTGATTCTGTTTATTTGTACCTTACTTTGACCATCCGTTCGCTGTTATTGATCATTGTGGAGAGCAGGCAGACGTTTTGTTTTTTATTATAGCAGCTATCGGATGGAATCAAAACATGGGCTGCACAGGTTGTCATGTCCGACTATCACAAGTAGAATCATAATGAAAAATACGCCGGTAAAATGTGCCTGTAGAAAACGGCTTAGCAAGTAGTCAGTTTAGCTTCGGTTGCTATGCTAACATCACCCATGTTATACCAGAGAAACTTTCATAACAGCGTTGTGATGCCAAACAGCGTCAATTCAGACTGACACACATTCACTTAAGGGGAACTGGGGATATGTATCAGCTGCTTGTGTGACAGTCAGACAGTGAATACTTTAGAGCCGTGTGAGCTAACCCGGAGCTAACGGGAGAATACACTCCCGTGGAAGAGCAGCCAGCACTGCAGCGGTCGGTAAATGCCGCTGAAACACATTAATAAACAATGAACCACGGCACTCTGGAGAAAAGTATAAGGTTGGAGAAGTCGTTATTTAATTTAATCTGGCTTCGTATGATTAAAAGCAACACGATCATCGACCCGACGCAGTCCCCCGTTGTTGTTGTTGTTGTTGTGAGCTCCGTTGGGGAGAAAATCAGCGATGTAAACGGTGACGTCATGACGCAGCAGCGGCAGCTCTGTATGGGCTCAGAACAGTCTCATAATACACACATGCACACAAAAGGATTCACACTTGTATTTCCGGATCCACACTTGTGTTTTTCAATGCACACACAAATGTGTTCCGTTTCATATACATGTAAATAAAATCCAAACACAGAAAAAAGTTTTACATATGTATTTTTGATCCTCACATATTTGTTTTCCGTTTAAATCCCCTGAACCTGCAACACAACCCGCTTTCTGTGCATGGATCGCTGTGCATTCGTGTGTGTGTTTTTTGAGACTCCCCTGACGGTCACCCGATTCGCACTTGTAATTTTTTCTATCTATAGCCAATCAGATGTCTCCTTCATTCTAAGCCAATCACATCCCCACGAGGGTATGATTTATTGCGTTCATGACACTTCATGTACGCATTTTGCGCTGTCCGGAGCTGGGTTTCCACGGACAGAATTTATTTTACCGGACAAATTTGAAACTTACCGGTCATGTTTCAATAATAATAATAATAAGAAGAAGAATTGTGTAGCAGAGTTTCCGTTAGCAGGTAATTACCGGACTATGACCGGATATGGCTAATACGGGATCATCTATTTTCCTCTCTCCCTCCCTCTCTCCTGACAGCCCGTCAGTTTCTCATGCAGCTCGCTAAAACTTCACTCGCGTTTATGTCCATATCGATCAGATCCAGCTCTCCTGATCGGCCTTTATAGAGAGCACCGATCAAACTATTAAGAGTGAATATCGACCGATAATGACCGGCGGGGCTCCCCCCGTTGACAGTTCACTGTCTAGCACTGGCTTCGTAGTGCACTGATCGATTAGGCTAAGCTAACCTGTAGCTGCTCCCTCCACACTCACAACAACTTCATACAGACATAAACAAAGCAGCTGTATTCGCCATACAGGAAACACACATTTAAAACGGTTTTGCCTGCCGTTTTTATGTACACAAGCATTCATGAATGGTTCGGAAAGTGGCGCTGTACCGTAATAATATAAAGGCTTGTATTTGCGTGCATTTCCTGTTCGGAAAGTGGCAATGTACTGAAAGTGGAGGTGTCCTGAGATTAGCGCCTGCAGGCAGGCTCCATGGACCTGTCAGCTCCGGACAGCGCAAAATGTGTACATGAAGCGCTACGTCATGAACGCAAGAAATCTACCCTCGTGGGGGCGCGCTCATGTGATTGGCTTAGAATTGAGGAGACATCTGATTGGCTATAGATAGAAAAAATTACAAGTACGAATCGGGTGACCGTCAGGGGAGTCTCAAAAAACCCACACACGAATGCACAGCGATCCATGCACAGAAAGCGGTTTGTGTTTGCAGGTGCAGCGGTTTTAAACGGAAAACAAATATGTGAGGATCAAAAATACATATGTAAAACTTTTTTCTGTATTTGGATTTTATTTACATGTATATGAAATGGAAAACATTTGTGTGTGCATTGACAAACACAAGTGTAGATCCGGAAATACAAGTGTGAATCCTTTTGCGGATCATGAAATACAAGTGTGAATCCTTCTGTGTGCATGTGTGTATTATGAGACTGTTCTGAGCCCATAGCTCTGGGCGGTGTGAACAGAGCGGGAGCAGAAAAGGGAAACCGGAGCTGAACCAGAAAAGCTCTAGCTAGGAGCTAGAAAGGGAAAAGCGCTGGTGTGAAAGCCGCATCTGAGGATCTCCTAAAGAGGGATCATGTTCAGGTGATATGATTATTTAGAGCCTCTACTTTCACAGGGACCAAACCTGCAGCTGACTCAGGAGCAGCGACTAAGAAGAAGAAACCTGCAGCTGGTACACACACACACACACACACACACACACACACACACACACACACACACACACACACACACACACACACACACACACACACACACACACACACACATACACACACACCCTGGTAACCGTTTCTACTACCTCTGCCCTTTATCTACAAGGCAATAATCAAACAGGTCTTCTCTCTCCAAAGATATTTATACTTTTATTATAATGTAGTTTAGCTCCAGCGACCCGTCAGCATTCACACACACACACACACACACACACACACACACACACACACACACACACACACACACACACACACACTCACACACTGTAAATTATTTTTTTTTAATCTCATGTTTTTTCAGAGGTTTCCGGCGGCAGTCGTGAAACCCAGATCCGGAAGCAAGACTCAACCCTGAAACTCGCCCTGAACCCTCAGACTCCACAGGTCGAAGATGTGCTCGGCTTGGTTAGTTTTTCCCCTTCTTCATGTCTCTTCTACATCAACATGTGTCCCCTCTTCTTCATGTCTCTTCTTCATCAACATGTGTCCCCTCTTCTTCATGTCTCTTCTACATCAACATGTGTCCCCTCTTCTTCATGTCTCTTCTTCATCAACATGTGTCCCCTCTTCTTCATGTCTCTTCTACATCAACATGTGTCCCCTCTTCTTCATGTCTCTTCTACATCAACATGTGTCCCCTCTTCTTCATGTCTCTTCTACATCAACATGTGTCCCCTCTTATTCATGTCTCTTCTACATCAACATGTGTCCCCTCTTCTTCATGTCTCTTCTACATCAACATGTGTCCCCTCTTCTTCATGTCTCTTCTACATCAACATGTGTCCCCTCTTCTTCATGTCTCTTCTACATCAACATGTGTCCCCTCTTATTCATGTCTCTTCTACATCAACATGTGTCCCCTCTTCTTCATGTCTCTTCTTCATCAACATGTGTCCCCTCTGTGTAAAGAGACTCTGAACGTTTCAGGAACAAAGATTCTCTCTCTTTTTGATCCATTTATATAAAAACCTGTCTGAAAATGAGCTGATCAGATTTTGGCCACTTTATGATGTCATAACGATGTTTTGGCTTGTGTAACCATTAGCCAATCAGCAACCAAGGTAACCCCCCCCCCCCCACCTTATCACCTGAATCTCCTCCTAGAGCACCATTGGGTTCTTTGTAACCAAATCTCTCTACCCCATTCACACCAACGGTGTTTCAGGGCCGGTTCGGAGCTGGAGCTTGAAAAGCACCGGGTTTTCCTGTTCACAACGCAGCAGAGCAGCCTCTAATACCCCATTCACACCAACGGTGTTTCGGGGCCGGTTCGGTGCTGGTGCTTGAAAAGCACCGGGTTTTCCTGTTCACACCGCAGCGGAGCAGCGTCATAGCTCCGGAATCCGGTTCGTTTCGAGCACCAAAAAGTTGTCCGTCTAGAAGCAAGAACCGCTTACGTCGGAGGGGGGCGAGATTAACCTGAGCTAACAGTTAAGGCGAGTACGGCAAATACAAGTTGTAACAAGCAGTAGTGCTGAGCAAAGTCACTAGAACGCAACCACACACTTGTAAAAAAAAAAAACACGCTTTATAAAGTCAGGCAACACTAACCAGCTGTGATTCTGTTTATTTGTACCTCACTTTGACCATCCGTTCGCTGTTATTGATCATTGTGGAGAGCAGGCAGACGTTTTGTTTGTTATTATAGCAGCTATCGGATGGAATCAATACATGGGCTGCACAGGTTGTCATGTCCGACTATCACAAGTAGAATCATAATGAACAATACGCCGGTAAAATGTGCCTGTAGAAAACGGCTTACCAAGTAGTCAGTTTAGCTTCGGTTGCTATGCTAACATCACCCATGTTATACCAGAGAAACTTTCATAACAGCGTTGTGATGCCAAACAGCGTCAATTCAGACTGACACACATTCACTTAAGGGGAACTGGGGATATGTATCAGCTGCTTGTGTGACAGTCAGACAGTGAATACTTTAGAGCCGTGTGAGCTAACCCGGAGCTAACGGGAGAATACACTCGTGGAAGAGCAGCAGCACTGCAGCGGTCGGTAAATGCCGCTGAAACACATTAATAAACAATGAACCACGGCACTCTGGAGAAAAGTATAAGGTTGGAGAAGTCGTTATTTAATTTAATCTGGCTTCGTATGATTAAAAGCAACACGATCATCGGCCCGTTGTTGTTGTGAGGTGAGCTCCGTTGGTGAGAAAATAAGCGACGTAAACTGTGACGTCATGACGCAGCAGCGGCAGCACCAGTCGGGCTCTGAGCGGTGTGAAAAGAGCCGGAGCTAAACCGAAGTACCGGTTCTGAACCTGAAAAGCTCTAGCACGGAGCTTGAACCGGAGTTGCGTTGGTGTGAAAGGGGCGTGGGGAGGGGCTCCTTATTTTCATCTAAAGTAACAGACAGAGAATCAGCACTTTGGAAACAGGGCTGAAACAGAGGGGATTATGGGTAATGCTGCAATGATCTGTTTGGTGTTTCAGCCAATCAGAGACAGGCTCTGGATATATCTGAGACCTGTGATATATTGATGAAAAACTGTATAATAGGGGGCATTTAAATATATGTATTTCCACCAGACAGGATCTGTTCACACCTGAGAGTCTGATATGTAGTGTTTTATGGTCTGTATTTTATACAGTGAGTTTTGGTTTCATGTTGCACCGAAGAACTCTCAGTGACGGACCGACGTCTCGACTTTAAAATGTATATCCTTAAAGGTCTCCTATTATACTCTTTTGGTTTTGGTCAGATGGATCCATTTGGAGGCGTGAAGCTCATGGGTCGAGACTCAACCCCGAACCCAGCCTGGTTCCTCCCAACCCTGAAACCAGCCGGGTTCTTCCCAAATCCAAAGGTAGTTGAAAGATGTTGTTTTGTTTGTTAGCAAGATTGCGGAGAAACTTCTGGCCCGATGTTTCTGAAACTTGGTGGGAGAAAGAATCTAATGTTGGAAAGTCTTTGGTACTTTTTTAAATCTGGTGTTTTATTCAGAAGGTTCCAGTCGGAGCTGTGGAGCCTCAACAGAAGGTTCCAGTCGGAGCCACACAGAAGCCAAAGGTAGGAAATCAGTTATTGTTCTACAGAAATGTCAGGTTGTTCATGATGTCGTGTAAGAAGAGTGTCCAGTAGATGTGAACATGATCAGAATGTCGTTTTTTGCACTAAAACAAAGGGAACAGTTTGGAGTATTTATGGGTTATTATTTTACTGGTCCCGATCACATTTGAGATCACATTTGAGATCACATTTGGCTGAACGATTGAACACCTTTATCTGATCATCTTTTGGTATGAATGTGATTTGTGTGTTTGTCCAGGATCAGAGTGCTGCTCCTGTGCAGATCAGGAAGATTGAAGTAATCACATTACTCCGCACCAACAACACAAACACTCACCTGAAGGTGCAGTTGGGGGGTCGTCTGCGGAACCTTTACGGAACAACTCAAGTCCTTTCTGAGGGAATGGGCTTCAAAACCGTGGAGGAATTCACCAAATTATTTTTCCACATGCTGCCTCTCACTGTGACGGCTAACATGCAAGGAAAGAGGATCCTGGAGATGAGAATGATCTGACACGTCGTTTATTATGGGATGTTTGGGAAACGCAGTTTGCTTTGGGTCACGTGGAGGGGTTTCAATCCTCTCCTTTGTACTCCCAATTACTTTTATACTAATTAAAAACATTACTGAGTGTTTCTTTTTATTATTTTGTGCTTCAATAAGTTGGTCCTTATAGTGAATATGTAATAGATTGTTTTAATAGAAGAAAGTAAATTCATGTTTTCTTGTGATAAAATATGTAATGTGGTAAAAAGATCATATATTACATTAGACACACAAAGATTGTATGGTATATAAATACTAAACTGTGAAGATAACTAATATTTACGTTTTGACATGTTAAATATAAAATGTTGATCTTTGATCCACTTAAATGTCTGATCTAGGATCCTGAGATCCATTGCTTTTGTTTGTCTCCACCACATTTGGGGTTCGCGGGTAATTCCCTCACTTGAGTAAATGTACGTGATAAAACACAATTTTCACTCTTGTGATAATTTCTCCCCATCTGAAAGGAAAGGGGCGTAACATGTACAACTGTTCTCACAGCAGTTTAACATAGATATTAAAACGCAGAGGGGGGGGGGGGAGAAGTACTCAGATCTTGTATAGTACTTCTACTTTAACTCAACTATACTTGAGTAAAAGTAGAAGTACTCAGGTCTTGTACTTGAGTTAAAGTAGAAGTACTCAGATCTTGTACTTGAGTAAAAGTAGAAGTACCAGAGTGTAGGAATACTCTGTTACAGTAAAAGTCCTGCATTCAAAATGTTCCTCAAGTGAAAGTATAAAAGTGTTATCATCAAAATATAGTGAAAGTAGCGACAGTAAAAGTAGTCATTGTGCAGATTGGTCCATTTCAGAATAATATATATGATATGTTTTATAATGATTGATCATGAAAGTGTTCTCAAAGCTGGTAAAGGTGCAGCTAGTTTGAATGACTTTGTATACTGCAGGGTAGCTTGTGAATTTACTCCAGGTGGAACTAAAGTCTGATTTAACACTTGATTAGATTTCATATCATTCATCCACATCTGTGAAGTAACTAAAGGTATTAAAAAGTGTGTGGCTGTGGATAGTGTGCTGGACTTTGAATCAGGGGATAGCAAGTTCGAGTCCCACTGCAGTCAGCATGTCGTTGTGTCCCTGAGACACTTCACCCCAAATTGTCCACAGTATTGAATGTGTGTTAGTCGCTTTGGATAAAAGCGTCTAACAAATTACATGTAATGTTAATGTAAAAGAACACCATTTACCTCTGAACTGTAGTGGAGTAGAAGTACACAGTAGAAGATTGAAGTAAAGTACAAGTACTTCAGAATTGTACTATACAGTACTTGAGTAAATGTACTTAGTTACTTAACACCTCTATTAGTGAGATGTCCTTCTAAAAGATGCTAAATGTGACGACGACAGAAATACACCTGAACCTCCACTGAGAGGCGCCACCGGTACATTTTCATTAGTTTTCAACTAAAATACAGGAAATACAGTTATATATTACTGCTTACAACCCCTTAAAAATAAACCATAAACCTAATGTATAATACTCATTGTTTTTTACACTTTTATGGACTATGTTCCCCCTCAACTTTAATTAAGTCAAACATTGAATCATTAATAAGTTAAAACAAAGAAGAAACAATATTGTAATACAAATCCTCAAAGATAGGATGTAATTTATTGATCCCAAATTAGGATATTGTTTTGTTAAAGAAGCATTTTAACAATGTATTGTACACAATTTAAAATAAATTAAATACATAAATAAGCAAAGTAAATATATGTACACATCAACAGTAGAGAGAGATATGTTAATAAAATACCCATCAAAAAGTCTCAAAGTGTTATGCTTGTTGCAGAAAGTACTTTTATTATCAACATGTTTACACTTTCATTGTTATTGCCCTTCTCTTCCAGGCATTACGTAATGACACGACTCCGCTCTCTGATTGGCTGAGCTGTCTGTCACTCTGCTTCGCGGCATCCAATCAGAACGCCCGTTTCAGGCACTCACAAGCTGTGTTGTGTCTCTGGAGGAGGTGGAAACAATTGAGGAAAAATAAGTCATTTAAAGACATATTAAAATGCAACTTTGTACAAACAAATAAATATAAAAAATACAATAACAATATGAACTTGAAATATAAAATGGAAAAAAATATTTTATTAAAATATTGAGTCAGGGAGACTATTAGGTTATTTAAAGGTCTCCTATCATGCAAAAGTCACTTTTTGATGTCTTTTATACATCAACATGTGTCCCCGGTGAGTCAGGGAACTCACGCAGCGTCAGAAAATAAAACCCTCTCTCTTTTCCTCCGTACCCAAATCTCTAAAAACGGGGAACAACGGAGCTGATCCGCGTCCGATATGACGTAATATCTGAAATGTGGACCCACGGCCCTATCAGAAAGTTGCTATCAGAAACAATGCCCGACTGTTTTGGACGTAATATGGTCGGTGTTTACATTAGCATCGCTAACACTCAGAGCTAACCTGTACTGGAGAGCATGTGTGTGAAGAAGCAGGAAATAAAAAGGAACTCACCTTGTGGTATAACCGGCAAGAGAGAAAGCCTTTGAGCTCCATACTGTTTCAGAAAGAATCCTTGATAATCCATGATATGGCGTTTCATCACGGCAGTATTTAGTTTAGACAGTAGCTGCCGGGTCCCGCATGAGCTCACCCCCCTCCTTTTAATTTTTTTAAAGCTTTATACCCCAAATCAGCACTTTTGAAACAGGAAGTGAAATAGAGGGATATGAGCCATGGCTAGAATGGGTGATCTGTTTGGTATTTTGAGCAAAACACTTCAAAGACATGTTTTTTATATATTTTTATATATCTGAGACCTATGCTATTGCCTAAAAATAGCATGATAGGTGACCTTTAAGACATATATTTGAGGGTAGATCATTCCAGTCCACACTCCAGTACAGTAGGAAGGTGGAAACATTTGAGGAAAATCTTTAAAAAAGAGAGAAAATGTATTTAAAAAAATAAAAAAATATTCAAATCCAACTTTGTACAAAAAAGATTATATGAAAAATACAATAAAAATATGAATCTAAAATGGAGAAATAATAGCAAATATATAAACAAAAATATTGGCATGGGATACTTTTATATTATTTAAGACAACAAGAGAATAAGAACAAATATTTATTGTACTTGGGGAGGCTGTGGCGCAGTGGCCGAGTGCGTTGGTGTTGGGATCGGGGGAGCACAGGTTCAAACCCCACTGCAGTCAGCATGTCGTTGTGTCCCTGGGCAAGACACTTCACCCCAAATTGCTCCTGTGGGGATTGCCCACAGTACTGAGTATGTAAGTCGCTTTGGATAAAAGTGTCTAACATGTCATGTAACGTAATTGTGGGTTATCTGTCGCCACTTTTTAATAGCGGGTGGCTGTTCCTGCACATGAACTTTTTCATTTCTCAAAATAACAAACATTAATCCTATGGTTAGGGTTAGGGTTATTTAGAGAGTCTGAAAAAAGCTAAAAAAGTGGCGACAGACAAGTAACGTATTTATTTTAATTTTATATTTTGGGGGTTGATAACTCCGGTCCCCGCTCCAGTACAGGAGGAGGGGGAAACATTTGAGGAAAATGTTTTAGAGAAAAAGTATTTAAAAAATAAATAAATGAAAAAAATATTAACATCCAGTCTGATAAAAAAATATATAAAAAATACAATAAAAATATGAAATTTAAATGTAAAATGGAGAATTAATAGAAAATATAAAAAAAATATATTTGAGTGATTCTATAATTTAGGGTGCATTTCACATCAACAAAACAGTACAAAGAAAGTGTTCTTTCTCAATAGAACAATCAGTGGTTCAAGTTAGTATATTCTTCAGTGTAACATATCCACTAGTTGCAAAGCTTAAACATTTTTTTATTTTATTTTATTTTAAGGGAAAGGATGTTTTCACTACTCAGTTTGTCAACTATGTTACGGACAAACTTGATGTCATTACAATCATTTGATTAAGTCCTGCACTTCAAGTAAAATCACATTTGAAAGGCTCTTGAGCAGGGGTCTCCAACCTTTCTTCATCTGAGAGCTACTTTCAAAAAATGAAAGTGGCCAAGAGCTACTTGCATCACATCGCTTACATTTATTCACATAGCCCTCATCAGTTGAATTAAGCTATACTTTTGTACACGTGTGAAATTGCAATACCTAAAGCTTATCAAAAATAAGGTCCAAGAAAACGAAGATTTCTCACATATTATTATGGCCCACATAATAAGTACATCACTGAACATTCACATAAGTGTCCTTAATCACCACCTTACAAGCATTTCACTCTTTTGTTAGTGAGATTAATGGCACTGCATACAGTCCACCATAGAGGTGTATGCTGGACCCACTTAGGTTCACTTAATAGAGTCATTTAAATGTTCATCAGTCGGTCTTGTTCTGTATTTAGATTTCATTCATGTCAGAAAAAGCTGCTTCACAAAGGTATGTAGAACAGAACCAAATAAAGCAGACATTTTCAGTGCTGCTTGGTGAATGTTCTTATAGTTTTCTGGGTCTACAAGGCTCCAGAAATGTTGTGAGTTTTGCTGAGACTTAAGCTGAACATTATTTTGGAGATCTCCACAGGATTGACACTGAACAGTTGTTCAGCCATCTTTTTCTTCTTCTTCTTCGTCTTGACATTAAATTATAAACCATAATAAATCAATTGTATAGGTCTAGCCTCCCTATATCTGTGTGTGAAAATGGTTCCATCCTCAAAAACAAAAAACTAATACTTCTGCAGTCTAGCTGCAGCTTCTAGCAACGGTCTTCTGTTAAAAAAAAGACACACATGACTTGAGTCTGAAAACAGCAGGATTATTTACAATAGCATTATAAAAACAAAAATAGTGCATGTGGGTGCACACTTACATTCTCTGTCTTACTGTTACATAAATCCCATGAATGTATGAGATTAAGTTAGCTTCATCATATCTCAATCAGTGATTAAGTGAATAATAAAGTTTCTATCGGGTCACTATCAGCCTGTCACTCATTATTTTCAGGGAGGGGGCGGGGTTTGGAGGAACGGAGAGGAGACGGTGATCGCGGAAGCTTTCCTCCTGCCTTCACAAACTTTACACAAGTATTTATCAACTGAAAATAGCAAGAGGACATTCATACTCTGCAATCCAAGACTTGATTAAATTCACCAAAAACCTGACATGACGATAACGAGTGTTTTTCAAAAAACACAAATCCCTCCCTGTGTGTCTCTGAGGCGCAGCGACAGGGCCTGATTCAGAGCGGGTCATTCTGCTGTTAGTTCTGGACTCGTGCTGGTGGAGAAAGCAGACTGCTCCGTGTGTGTTGTCGCTGTGCTGCTGTCACGTCTGTTCCTTGATCTCTGCGTCACCGACCATTTGATATTCGTGTGACAGAAAAAAATCTAAAATAAAAAAACGTTATTGTCCAGCCGCGGCCGAAAAATCAATAAGCAACCTTACTACGCTATAATCGATAATCGAGCGGCGAGCTACTGAAAAGCTGCCCGCGAGCTACCGGTAGCTCGCGATCGACGTGTTGGAGAGCCCTGCTCTTGAGTCTATTCTACCATATATCCAAAGATTTTTTAAAGTTTAAAAAATAATTGTATTAAAGTTTTGTTTTTTCATGTGATATGTTCAGCACTGTCATTAAGTTTAGGGATATTTTGTATTATAAAACTACCATACAGGCAGTGGCGGCCGGTGGTCTTTTTTTTTGGTGGGGCTCTTGACGTACCGTAAGTGACCTACCCGGGGGGTCCGGGGGGTTTCCCCCCGAAAATTTTTTTCGAGAAATGACCCCTTAAATGATGACTTCTGGTGATGTTAGAGGGGGGGGGGAAAGGAGAAATCGAGGCTTAAAAATATGAGAAGACTGATCAATACCTCCATAATCTTCAGTGTGGAAAATATTATTTATCAACCTGAACATCTACTACTTTACCAGGAATTTGTGTTCTCAGAACTGGTCTGTTTTTTTCTTTCTTAAAACTGTTCATGTTTTATGAACCAACACCTTCACCAAGTAGCTTTACAGTGAACTGCATGTGAGATATAAAATTAATAGCATCTTTTCAGTAGCATTAATTATAAATATTTAAGTGGTTCAATACAAGTCACTACAGCATTTCAAACTGAACTGTGAATAAATGCAATTTAAAAAAAAATAACCACAGCACAAAATGTCATAAATTGTGTTTTTTCTTTGTTTCTCTGAGGATTATTTACAAACAGGCTTATTTACATATAGCAATAACTCAGAAATGAAAAAGCTACATCGTCTAACACGAACAACCAGTTAGCATAATGATAATATATGTGTTATGTACAATGTAACTGGCAAGGCTAGAGCAAGAAAGAACATAAAGTTTGCAAAAGGTTTAAATAACTTCAAGTATCTGTCTTCAGATTACGTGGAGGTTTTAGTCCGATGGGAAGCAGATTTTAAGCGACACCGAAGATAAACCAAAAATGTGGTGGAGCTGCAAACCGTGTAGTGTTGCTGGGACAGAACAGGAGCTATAACCGTTGGAAAATACATCACAGACAATGCAACAAACGTGGAGACAGAACAATCACTTCTGTGATAAATGCCCACTTATTAATAAACTTCTAACAACCATGGGAAACCTCCTCTCTACATATAAAGTGATATCCAAGCATGGGAAACAAAAGACAGCATTTACCTGTTTGCATCCAGCTAGCCAAGCCTTTCTTGTGTACCAGCTACTTGTGAAGCCTCGTGTATAAATGTTGTCTTTTTCACGAGATTGCTGCGATATATTCAAATCGGGTTGGTCCGGTGCAAGGTCTTTAAGCAACAATTTATCTGCCAAACTTCTCCTTTCGAAAGGATTGGAGATTAGCTCTTGAACAGAATTAGGCGGGGACCGAGGTCCGGAGACTCCACCTGCACACGAAGCCATCCTCATCAACTACTGCGTCAACCGGATACGAGTCACTGTCCAAACTACTCACAGACTGCACTGGGCGCTGACATTGGCGCCCGGTGACCGTCATCTTTGACGACGCTGATTGGCTGAAATTATATTTTCGCGGCATAGTTTACACGTTACAGATAGCAACAGTCAGCTGCTGGTGGCTGCTGCTGCACTGGTTGAAGGCTCCTCTCTTAGCGCCCAGACGAGAGAAGGTGCATGGGCAAGGCCAGGCAGGAAACATGTGACTTATCAGTAACTTTAGACATCGTAACACAATTTTAAACGAGATTTTATTGTAGATTATACATTTTACTGATACCAATTATATAATATTTACCTTGTTCATTAAAAATAAAAATAAAAACATATATATTTTTTTAAACATTTTTTTTTTTTATTTTAATTTTAATTATTATTTATTTTTATTTTTTTCAATATGGGAAGAGGTGGGGCGGCGCCCCTAGCGCCCCTATGGACCGGCCGCCACTGCATACAGGTCATTTTGATAGTTTTAAGAGATGTCATGTAAAACTCCAACCTGTGTAGATATACATTATACTATAAAGGATATCAGAAGCACTATTTTAGATATTTTAAATTTGAAAAAATGAGGTGCAACATAGTTGACAATGAAAGTCAAACATTTGACGCAAATAAAATAGTTGACTGGACATATTATTAACCATCAGCACTATGTTAATTTCAAGGCAGAAGTGCAAAATTCCATTGATAATGATGTGTAATGACATCTACATGTCCTACAAATTGTCAACTAGGTTACCTGTCAACTAAGTTACTACAGTTATTACAGTACTGGGTAACTCAGTTGACAGGTAACTTAGTTGACAATTTCCCTATTTTGACCCATCACTTCAATGGTAGGCCTTGCTTGGATGACCACATGTCATTTTCTTGAACAGGTTAACATCACATTTGAACATATAATTGAATTAAAATCATTAAACAATTGTAAACCATAACAATGTACGTAACATTGTTGATTGTCAATGAGTATATTAATTGACCATGTGCTATTATACATAAAATATTGTAAAAAATTAGAGGACAATCACCACAGTGTGTTCAAAATGTCTGCCAAAGAGGAACATGGCATCATGTGATGCTGGTGACATGGTATTGGGACAAACCATTTTTGAGTTAAAGGGGGGGAGTTCTCTTAGTAACATAGTTGACAGAACTTTTGCGGACATTCATATATTAAGATATTTTAATTATTTAAAGGAGGAAATCAATTAAAAAGATGTTATTATTCTTTAGTATTTAGACTTTTAAAATAAATGAATACTTTTTTTTATTTACTTTAATGGTTTTTATTCATTATTTTGAAACCAAGACACCCTCAACTGAAAAACGGACAGAGCAAAAATTGACAATTTAAGAACATCATGACACATTTCAAGCTAAATAAAGCATAGGATGCACATAATGTTTGTGTGATATTATAACATGCTTTCCAATAATAGGCAAAATATGATATTTTTGAAGAAAATACTTAGAATAATTATAATTATCATCAATGGACATCAATGGACATGGAATGTACCCTAAATTGTAGAATCACTCATTTGCCAGGAAGATTATTAAATTATTGAAGACAAACAGAGTTAATAACGACATTTTAAAAACGAATTTTATTTTATTTTTGGGGTAGATAATTCCGGTCCACCCTCCAGTACAGTAGGAGGCAGTAACGCGCCTTTTCCGCTGGTTTCCACCCTCCATACCCCCGTCAGAAGAAGAGGATGTGTCTCCGGGGTCCAGCAGCAGAGCTCCGGGAGTCCACAGTCCGATAGTAAACATCCCATCACGGTGGCTCTTCTGGAGGAAAAGAACCGCAGTAGCTGGGAGCCATGAGCCGCCCGTCCTCAGAGGGGGCAGGCGGGGGGAAACCAGGCGCGGTGAAGCACGGAGGATCCGGAGGTCCTGCCGCGTCTGCCGCTATATCGGTAGCCGCCGCCGCTGCAGCGTCAACCGGCGTTAGCTCTCTTCCTGGACCGGGGACCTCCGCCGCGGCTCCTTCTTTCTCCCTCACCGTGGGCGGTCTCCAGTCCCCGGAGCTCACGGCCCTGTTTGAGTGCCCGGTGTGCTTCGACTACGTGCTGCCGCCCATTCTTCAGTGCCAGGCGGGCCACTTGGTGTGTAACGCGTGCCGCCAGAAGCTGAGCTGCTGCCCGACGTGCCGCGGCCCGCTCAGCCCCAGCATCCGGAACCTGGCAATGGAGAAGGTGGCGTCCACTCTGCCCTTCCCCTGCAAGGTGAGAGGGAAACAGAAGGGAGAAACACACACCTACAGACACACACACTCTCACAAAGACATTCACACACAGGCAACTTCCTCATTCTGCGACACACAGGTACGTTCGTGTGCGTACTGTGACGTCAGGGGCTCCATACAGAACCAAAACAAAGTGAAGTTGTATTTTTTACTTTTTTCACGAGTGATTTAGTTTGAATATTTCTCAGCATTGTGATGATTGCTTTTATTAAGAATTATTATTTATTATTAATTTATGTATTATTATTTCTTACACACACACTCAGACACATACGACTTTCTCATTCTGCGACACACAGGTGCGTTCGTGTGCGTTCTTTGACGTCACGGGGCTCCATACAGAACCACAACAAAACCTTAGTTTGTCTGAAGTTGTATTTTTTACTTTTTTTTAGGAGTATTTTAGAATACATATTTCTTACCTTTGTTATCAGTGATTTTATTTAGAATTATTACTATTTAATTTATTATTATTTCTCTATTTTTGGACATGCTTAAAACCAGTGGTGGATTTTCTCAGTAAATGAATGCTGGTATTTTTAATATGTGTTTATTTACATGGTATTTGTATTTGTTTACAATTATTATTCTGGAATTTTGACTTTCCCCATGCGATGAGATTAAAGAAGTACATTAGATGTTCTCTGAAGAGTTGGCTCGTCATAAGGCTCCATTATCTTTCATTGTTTATGTTTTTAATGACCTGTTTTCTCACAGAGTTAACAGCTATTTTCTTAAGACATTTTCCAACCTTTATCTGAAATCATATTTGAGTTTTTTGCTAAATAATTATGTTTTTTTTAATCATTTTTTACAGCAAAAAAAGTTATATTTTCTTCTTAATCTCAGTATATTTGAGTATAACTTCACTCCACCAGCTTGTACATAGACCGGAGGCCAGAGGCCTGTACTACGAAGCCGGATTTTCGCTTAGCAAGCTAACTTCAGGGTAAACTCTGGGTTTCCAGTCCTACAACGCTGGTTCTCTTCTTAGCGGGCTAGATCTCCATGGTAACTTATGCTGAATGGCTAACCTGGGGCCTATACTACGAAGCAGGATTTTCGTTTAGCGAGCTAACTTCAGGGATTTCCGGTCCTACGACGCTGGTTCACTTCTTAGCGGGCTAGATAACTTATTCTGAACGGCTAGCCTCCGGAGCAGGATAGGTTCCAGGAAAAAAGCACTGCCTGCTGACCAATCAGAGCTCAGTGTGCGGAGTTTAAAGCGATCAATTCATATGACAGGAGAAAGGAAATACAGTTTAAACTGCCGTTGCAGGAAAGACGGCCGGCCAAAATCACCGACTGTGAACGTGAAAATGAATAGAATATCCCCTCCCATCTTCAGAGCAATCTGACTATTATAACATTAGCGTTAAGAAAGCTTACTTAAATATCTGCCACAACATAAGTAACCGGATCAAAGTAACATTAAGTACAGTCTGCGGCACTGTGAGTGCAGACGTTGATGTGTCCCATTATCATTCATATCATATCACATCATAATGTATCATATATTTCCTTATCTGAGTCAGCTTCTTGAGCCGTATCTGGCCGTGCAACACTCACAGTGTCACATACTGTATGCAGAAGTATTATTTTAAGCAACACATTAAGTTGACGAAACACTCGAGTCAAATGTAATTAAAGTCAGATCGTGTCTTGGACGGGGCAGTGATATCATAAACCTGTTGATGGACGCATTCAAACACTTTTTCTTTTACCAGCTGTATTCACCTTGCAGGTGCAGCTATGTGGCTTTGATCCTGGATAAAGTGTTTAAGTCATGGATGTTTAAAGTTTAACGTCTTCATATTTGTCTAATATTAGTTGACTTTTCATTCAGGAAGTATGACGCTGCGCTGTCAGTACGCTTGTCCATGTTTGTGATTGGTCGATCACTCCAAATACCACCCCTTTTATGTGAACGCGCACCTAACTAGATAGGACACGGCTGGCTTGAGCGATCGAGTTGATAGCCAGCGTCGTAGGACCGTTTAGCGAGAGCGGGTTTGTTTTGGATTAAGTCAACCGGCTAACTCAAACATATCCAGGTTATGTTGAACTTGATTCGTAGTACAGGCCTCTGGTCCAGAGCAGGTTAGGTTGCAGGCTAAGAGATCAACTCAGTGAAAGCACCGCCTGCTGACCAATCAGAGCTCCGTGTGCGGAGTTTAAAGCGATCAATTCATATTACAGGATAGAGGAAATACAGAAAAACTGCCGTTGCAGGAAAGACGGCCGGCCAAAATCAACTGACTGTGTGAACGTGAAAATGAATAGAATATCCCCTCCCATCTTCAGAGCAATCTGACTATTATAACATTAGCGTTAAGAAAGTTTACTTAAATATCTGCCACAACATAAGTAACCGGATCAGAGTAACATTACGTACAGTCCGCGGCACTGTGAGTGCAGACGTTGATGTGTCCCATTATCATTCATATCATATCACATCATAATGTATCATATATTTCCTTATCTGAGTCAGCTGAGCCGTATCTGGCCGTGCAACACTCACAGTGTCACATACTGTATGCAGAAGTATTATTTTAAGCAACACATTAAGTTGACGAAACACTCGAGTCAAATGTAATTAAAGTCCGATCCACTCGTGTCTTGGACGGGGCAGTGATATCATAAACCTGTTAATGTACGCATTCAAACACTTTTTCTGTTACCAGCTGTATTCACCTTGCAGGTGCAGCTATGTGGCTTTTATCCTGGATAAAGTGTTTAAGTCATGGATGTTTAAAGTTTAACTTTAGCAGATAAATGCATCTCATAAGAAAGCGTGTTAAAGAAGGGATTAAAGGACCGTAATAATGCAGAGTATGTGTGATAATGTGGTGCAGAAGTCCGGATCACGCCTCTGATTGCATTAAAGTTGAAGTGAGCGTCTGAGGCCGACTGAAAGACGAGCAGCGAGAGCAAAGAGAGCCGAGAACACACTCAGAAAACACACAAATAAATCATAAACACGCATTAACATAAAGGGATTTCATGTATTTCATTTAGTCCCTTCATATTTACACACATGACGTTATAAATATCATCTTCTTGCACAAGTTGACTAACATTTGACACTTGATTGGTTGATTTAATGACTGCTCTGTAACACTGAGACTCATGCAAAAGCAACACTTTAAATCTGGTAATATAGTCAAAGTAACCAGGGGTGTTTGTAGAAAGATAAAGTATGAGCACTGTGTCTCTGATCTTGTTTATAAGATATATTAATTATCTGAGAACATGACGCCCATATACAAGATGTCTCCTGACGTAAACAACAACGTGACGTAAACAACAACGTGGCGTCTGAGCTCCATAAAAACAAAGCTGTCTCTGCCGTCTGACGCTCTGTTTGATTCTCATATTTCTGGAGGAATTATACAGTTTATTGACACACAGAAATATTGTTTTCTGGCATCACTTTAAAGGGGACCTATCATGCAAAAGTCACTTTTTGATGTCTTTTCTACATAAAGATGTGTCCCCGGTGAGTCGGGGAACTCACGCAGCGTCAGAAAATAAAACCCTCTCTCTTTTCCTCCGTACCCAAATCTCTAAAAACGGAGGAACAACGGAGCTGATCCAGATGTGCGTCCGATATGACGTAATATCTGAAATGTGGACCCACGGCCCTATCAGAAAGTTGCTATCAGAAACAATGCCCGACTGTTTTGGACGTAATATGGTCGGTGTTTACATTAGCATCGCTAACACTCAGAGCTAACCTCTACTGGAGAGCATGTGTGTGAAGAAGCAGGAAATAAAAAGGAACTCACCTTGTGGTATAACCAGCAAGAGAGAAAGCCTTTGAGCTCCATACTGTTTCAGAAATAATCCTTGATAATCCATGATATGGCGTTTCATCACAGCAGTATCTAGTTTAGACGGTAGCTGCCGGGTCCCGCATGAGCTCAGACCCCTCCTTTTTTTTATCAATTTTTAATTTCTTAAAGCTTTATACCCAAATCAGCACTTTTGAAACAGGAAGTGAAATAGAGGGATATGAGGCATGGCTAGAATGGGTGATCTGTTTGGTATTTGGAGCAAAACACTTCTATATATCTGAGACCTATGCTATTGCCTACAAATAGCATGATAGGTGACCTTTAACATTTTACGGGAAAGATCTGTATTTTGTTTTCCCGGTGCAGACAAAACCCTGTAATATTATAAATGTTGTTCGATTACCTTGTGGCATTCAAGGAAATTCTGATTTTAAAAGTGTGTGTGTGTGTGTGTGTGTGTGTGTGTGTGTGTGTGTGTGTGTGTGTGTGTGTGTGTGTGTGTGTGTGTGTGTGTGTGTGTGTGTGTGTGTGTGTGTGTGTGTGTGTGTGTGTGTGTGTGTGTGTGTGTGTGTGTGTGTGTGTGTGTGTGTGTGTGTGTGTGTGTGTGTGTGTGTGTGTGTGTGTGTGTGTGTGTGTGTGTGTGTGTGTGTGTGTGTGTGTGTGGTGTGTGTGTGTGTGTGTGTGTGTGTGTGTGTGTGTGTGTGTGTGTGTGTGTGTGTGTGTGTGTGTGTGTGTGTGTGTGTGTGTGTGTGTGTTGGATGTGCTCCTCTGAGTGCTCATCAGTGTGTAATTGAATTAGGGTTTAGGCCTGCCTCCAGATTTCTGATTTATTTTCCTCATGAGTTTAATGCTGCGTACAAAGATAATTTGACTTCATGATGGGAGGAATTAGCAGGTTTTTAATTGAACGCTTTCAATCAAATACATCGTTCTCATGCCGCTGCATCAAAGTATTCACTGCAGTAACTGTGTTTCACCAGGAGGGGGCGCTCTTCTGACTTTCTTCAAATGTTCAAAAGCTCTTTATTGTTCTCATACTGCCTGTGCTGCAGCACCTCATTTCACCCTCTGTCTGAAACCAGAGCCCAGTCTGCTCTGATTGGTTAGCTGGCCGGCTCTGTTGTGATTGGTCAACCGCTTACAGATGTCCCGCCCCTTAACCTATCACGTACAATGTGTTGGA